TCAAGGGCTTCTATTCTGTTAATTGTGTTAACCTTTAGAGTCCATGATTCACAGCCATACAACAAAACCGGGTGTACATAGCACTTCACAAACTGGTATCTAAGACTCAGACTTAGGGTGGCATTACACAGTAATGGCCGCATCAGGTTAAAAGTGGCTCTTGCTTGCTCGATTCTGGATCTAATTTCTATTTCTGGATCTAGGTTGTTGCAAATCCAGGTCCCCAAATATTTGGATTTTTCTACCACTTCTATTCGTTTCACATATATACTAATATCTATGGGCGGTTCTGGGGTTTTTGATATTATAAGTATTTTTGTTTTAGTGGTATTTATTTTAAGGCAGTAACGACCTCCGACTGCAGTGAGTTGATTTATCAAGCGTTGCAAGGCTTCTGGACTATCTGCTAGTACCGTGGTATCATCAGCATATCTTAGGTTGTTAAGTGTTACACCGTTGATCTTAATCCCATCACTCGTGTCTTTTATTGCGTCTTCAAAAATACGTTCGGAGTATAAATTTTGGATATAAAGGGCTTGAAGTAATTACATTAAAGTCTCTGTTTTTAGCAAAGTCTTTAAATTCAGTGCTATTGAATGGATTGTTATCTGACAACAATGTTATCTTTAATAAATGTAAAGATAGTATGAACAGAGTCAACGGTCCAATTCCTTCAAGTTCTTTGTTCCTACTACTCTAGTGGCGGAAATCTAACTGTTACGCTCAGTGGGCTCTGGCTCGGTTGGCTAGATTTTGCCACGCCCACTCGGTGCCCACTGAGCGAGTATATAAACGCTCAACTTGTAGATTGTACTTTAGTTTATAATCATCTGCTGATGATGCTAACATGGTTAGCGAAACGCGCGTCCAGTGTAAAAGTAAAAGTGTTTTGGTATATTGTGGTGATTTAGTGTTTTTATTTTGCTGTGTAACACCAAAGGTTCCAACCCTCAACTGTAATGTTATCTGATTGAAATTATTTCTTGTTTAGTTTTTGTTTCTAATTCTAATGATTCTATCCAATTGCTGTAATAATCAACAACTAAATAATTTTTCCCACCAAAATATAGTATGTCAGCACCATTGCTTGGAAACTTATATGATGAAATTTTGATAAAATAATTTATTTTAGTCTATCATCTAAAAAGAGTAAATTATTTCTAAAACTTAAATCATTCTGTAATTTAAAATATATGTGACTTCTTCAGAATTTAATATATGTTTATAATTGTTTTTGCAAGACCACCCTTTTTTAGAAAATTCAATTATTTTATTTAAAATTGCATCTTTTCCTGTATAATGTTTTAACTCAATAAGTCTTTCTTTTGTGATTGGAAGTTCAATGCCTACTGAATGAACATTGTTAGTTTTTAAAAATGATCTAGACAATAAATCTGCTATTAACATTTGCTTACCAGGAAGATACTCTATATCAAGATTATATTCTAATAATTTCAGTTTTAACCTTTGTAATCTACTGCTGACTTTATAGAAATCTTTTTTACATAGAGAGATTAAAGGCTTATGGTCAGTTTTGACTAAAACTTTCCTGCCGTAGACAAAATTATGAAATTTCTTAAGAGTAAAACAAATTGCCAGTAAAAGTAAAACCTCTGACGAGGGGTAGGGGACAAAAAACTCACAATCTTTTAAGGTGTTTATTTCAAATTTAATTTGCTTCAAAAAAAAGGAAGGGGGCGACATGTTTCAGGACTTAAATAATTCCCATCTTCAGGCCCAGAAAGACAAAAGTCACACCAGGAAGTCATACCACTAAGATTTAAAATAGTTGGGTTGTTAAAATTCATCAAACAATTTTACTCATTGTAATTGCAAAATTTTATAATTTTTCAAAAAGAAAAAAATTTCGTTGTTATTCTAAATAAAGGCTTATACCATTGTTGGGGTTTCTTGATGTTAAAAAACTGTGGACTGTATAATTTTAAATGATTTATTGCAACGAGTAACATTTCTATCGGCGGCTGAGGCGAGACTGCCTTCAAGTGTCTTTCTTCGATACAGGCAACGTTGCCGCATTTAACAATTCGTCTGAACATCCTGCCCGCCTTGACAATATATAGTATTTCAAACAAATTTTACATTTTAGCAACTTAACTAATACAAAATTAAGTTTATATTTAATATAATTATTAATCCCTTTAACTTAAATGAATTCTAAATCTAGAAGTAAAACAACGTAATACATCAAATGGATTAATCACAAAAATTTCAATTAACCAAATACAATATTGGGTATAAAACGAACATATTTGAACATGAAAAGAATAACCATAAAAATAAAAACATTAATTAATAGGTAAGATACAAATCTTGTTCACAGCTCGCGTAATTTCACCATTCGGCACTTTTATGTCCACAACGCGAACTACGTTGTGCTTCCCTGGATGAAGCTTGGTTATTCTGCCCATTTGCCAGGACATACTGGGAGCATTTTCGTCTTTAATTATTACCAAAGCTCCAAGCGCTAAATGCATTTGGGATTGTGTTCTCCATTTTGTTCTCGTCTGTAGTTCAAGTCAAGGTATTCTTTACTCCAACGAGACCAAAAATGTTGTGAAATAGCTTGAATGTGCTGCCATCTATCCAATCTGGACTCTGGGACATCAGTCACATTAAATTCCGGGAGTGCCGTCAGCGTTTTACCAACCAAAAAATGTGCAGGTGTTAATGCGCTTAGGTCGTCAGGGTCTTGGCTGATAGGACATAGTGGGCGGGAGTTTAAAATGCCTTCAATGCGCACCAGCAACGTGTAAAAATCCTCGTAAGTTAGAGGGTGTTTTAAAAGCCTTTTAATATGATGCTTTGTGCTTTTAATTCCCGCTTCCCATATACCTCCAAAATGTGGAGATCTAGGTGGTATAAACCGCCAAGAGATGCCGTCATTAGCTAAATGATTTACGATCACCGTTTCATTTTCCTTTAAAAAATCTGATATTTTGGAGAGTTCATTGTTGGCTCCAACAAAATTTAATCCGTTGTCCGAAAATATTTTACTCGGTTTTCCGCGCCTACTTACGAACCTTTGCAAACAGGATAAAAATGCAGCAGTTGTTAATTCAGATACTAGTTCGAGATGCACCGCACGTGTACTCATACAAATAAATAAACAAACATATGCTTTTATGATAATGAATGGGCCACCATAGTCTACACCTGTATGTATGAAAGGAGAATAACTGTTAACTCTGACGTCTGGAAGATCACCCATTAGATAAGTACCAACCGTAGGATTGGCTTTAAAACAAGTAACGCAACTATTTTTTACCTTTTAACAGGAATTCCTCCCTGAAATAGGCCAATACCTTTCCCTTATGGAGCATAATAAAGATTGAACTCCGCAGTGTAATAATCGTTTATGTTCATGTTCTAAAATTAGTGTAGTTAAATGATTAGATTTTTTGGTAAAATAACTGGATTTTTTTTATCAAAAGGCAGGTTTGAATATCTTAATCTGCCCCCTACTCTTATTAAATTATTTTTAATAAACGGATTTAAAGGCAGTAGTACACTCCTTTTACTTACAGATCCTTGTTTTTGTAGTTCTTCGTATTCTCTCGGGTAAACATGAACCTGAATTGTCTTAATTAGAATATTTAAAGAGTTATCTAATTCTCTGGGAGTTAAATTTTCAAAATTCCTGAGTGTTTTTTCTTTTGTTCTCAGATTGCTAATAAATCTTAATACATAAGCAGTTACTCTCTGGAGCTTCTGTAGAGATGAGCATTTTAATATCAAATTCATAATTATATTGTCCCTTTTAATGATCGTCATACAAGTTACAAGTTTTTCTTCTGGAAGATCATTAACGTCGATTTTTATCAAGAGTTCCAACTACTAGTGTCTTGTTCTAACCATTTTGGACCGTGCCACCAAAGTTCGCAATCGATCAGGTAAATAATACTTACTCCACGGGATAGTAAGTCCGCAGGATTTTCCTCTGATTTTACATGGGACCACGATTCAATATTAGTTAGAGTCTGTATCTCGCTGACTCGGTTGGCAACAAAGGTTTTCCATCTCTTAGATGGGTTTCTTATCCACCCCAATGCTATCATCGAGTCTGACCAATAGTATTGCTTCAAGTGCTGTATCTTCATGTCTGATACAACTCTTTTTGCTAGGTTGGCTAACAATAATGCACTGCATAATTCAAGGCGCGGTAGGCTGACTTGCTTTATAGGCGCTACCCTTGACTTGCCGCAAACTAAATTTGATATTATTCGTCCAGAATTAAACACGCACCTTAAATATATGCATGCTCCGTAAGCCTTTTCTGAGGCATCACAAAATCCATGAACCTCTATTTGCATACTTTCTGTGAACACAACTCTACGAGGAACTTCAATCCTGTTTATTTCTGGTAATTCAGTTTGAAAATTTAACCATTTCTGTCTTAAATTTGGTGGAACGTCTTCGTCCCAATCTAGTTTCAATTTCCAAAGGTCTTGTATAATAAGTTTCGCTACTATTATTATAGGGCCTAGCAATCCCAAGGGATCGAAGATCTGACAAGTAGTTGAAAGAATACGCCGTTTCGTAACTCGTCCCTGGGAATTGTCAAAGTCACTTATTTTGTACTGGAACAAATCCTGACTGGAATTCCAGTACATCCCTAATGTTTTATTTTGTTCATTCTCACCTATACTCACGACACTTATTTCTATTTCCTTTGTCACTTCAAACCTTTTTAGGAGACCATGATCATTTGTGAGCCATTTTCTTAACATAAATCCTGCACTAGCCAATATACTTGAAATATCCCTTTGCATACTTAGTAATTCATTACTGGAATCTGAACCAGTCAATAAGTCGTCCATATACATGTCATTCTTAATTCTTGCACATGCCTCTGGATATTTTTCCTCATTTTCAAACGCTAGTTGAAATAAACATCTTACGGCGATATATGGTGAGGAAGCGTTTCCAAAAACTAACCTATTTATCTCAAAGATCTTTAGAATCTCTAAAGGATCTGGACGCTATATAATTCTTTGATATTTCCGATATTTATCATTCACCAAAATTTGTCGAAACATCTTTGACACATCACCTGTTATCACGTATTTATATCTCCTAAATCTCACTAAAATTGAGAAAACTTCTTGTTGTAAATTAGGTCCAACTCTCTGGACATCGTTTAGAGAGAGACCGGAACTCGTTTTTGCTGAAGAGTCAAAAACAACTCTACATTTCGTGGTGAGGCTATCCTCTTTTATAACACTGTGATGTGGCATAAAGTAACCTTCAACGTAACTAACCTTCTCTAGATCAGGTACCTCAGACATATGTTTCATTTCTTCCAATTCAGACATAAATTCACAATACTGACGCTTCAGTTGTGGATTTTTTCCTAATCGCTTCTCAAGCAACTGGAAACGATGTAATGCATTGTCATAGGAATTTCCCAAGTTTACCAACTGTTCATTGAACGGTAAATCTACTACAAATCTTCCAAGATCATCTCTTGTCGTCGTTTTCTTGAAATGCTCTTCACATATTTTTTCCTCAATACTTAGATTTGATTTATCAGTTGTTACCTCCTCTATATTCCAAAATCTTACCAACGCATCATTACATTCGTCTTTGGTATTATTCAAATGGTTACGTACAAGACAAGTCGTGGACATATTATTTCCAATATTCCAAGGTGAACCAATTTGTAGGTTGCCCCCAAGTACGTACCCAAATACAGTATTTTGAAGTACCGGTCCGTTTTTACCCAAAGATATTTTACCAGTTAATAATGATATCCAAAATATTTCCGATCCCAATAAAAGGTCTATTTCTGAACTAATATTAAATTCAGGATCTGCTAGGCTTTTAACATATTTCGGAATTTGAATTAAATTTTTATCAAACGAGTAAGTCGGCAAATTTTCTGTAATTTTTGGTAAAACTAGACAGCGCAAATCCTTAGTAAAATTGCCGTATTGGGATTTAATCGTGATATTCGCTTGATCATTTATCAAGGTAGATGCATTTCCGATACCCCTCAATACGTGAGTAGTCTCTGAACATTTTAGCATTAATTTATTGCTTAAATTACATGTCATGATATTGCTTTGTGACGCACCGTCAAGTAATGCGCGACATTTTACCCATTTATTCTCTCCTGATTTTACGAAAACGATCGCCGTAGCTAATACCCTTTGAGCGTGGCTTTCTACATACATAAATTTATTATTATCATATATTTTATCCGAATTTAATAAAGAAATAGTTTCTTGGCCTTTTTCCTGAACTACGTGCCGCTCCTCAGCTCCACTGGCAACGTTGGTTTCGCCGCTTATACTCCGAAGTGTAGGGTTCGCTATATTTGCACCAACGGTCGCCGAGATATTTTGCGCTTCATAATTTCTGTCATGTAACAAAGTGTTATGCGGTTTATGACATTTGAAACACCTTGACATTTTACATTGCCACGCAGTATGTGTTGGTTTAAAACAGTTTAAACACAATTTCAATCTCTTAACTTCTGACATTCTTTTTTCCGGCTCAAATCTTAAAAAATCAGAACATTTAAAAATCGTATGTCCGCCATTACAATAATAGCAAGATAACCTATTGTTTGACTCTTGAGTGGCTACATAACTAGAACTAGTACGTAGCTTCCCCTGTAGTATGTAGCCGATGTCCGTGCTACGCTAACTGGCGGAGTGAAATGTTGAGATGCCGCTTGGAAACTAGTGACCTTGATCAGCCTTTTTCTCAATTTTCAAGTAATTTCAGCTCCTACCTTCTTGCCCTGGATGCAATCCGCGAGAGGACCAATTCTGTTGGGGTTTCTTGATGTTAAAAAACTGTGGACTGTATAATTTTAAATGATTTATTGCAACGAGTAACATTTCTATCGGCGGCTGAGGCGAGACTGCCTTCAAGTGTCTTTCTTCGATACAGGCAACGTTGCCGCATTTAACAATTCGTCTGAACAACCATAATTCTCAAACAATCTTATTTTACTTTATATTTTTCATTTTTATGTTGCTGTGATAATTTAATGTAAAATTGCCAATAATTCCTTGTCAATCTGTGAATATCTTGTTTCAGCGTCTGTAAAGCTTCTTGAACAAAATGCGATTGGATAACCTTCCTGTAATAAACAACCACCTAGTCCATACTGACTAGCATCACTCTGTATTTCTATAGACAATAACGAGTTAAATATTTTTAAATTTGGTATTTTAATTAGAATTTCTCTAACATCATTTAAAGCTTTGGAATGATCACTTGTCCAATTCCAAGTAGTATTAGCATTAAGACTGAAGACAAATTTGGTATATATTTTGTTCAATAATTAATCATGCCAAGAATTCTCATTAATTATTTGTTATTATTTGGTAAGTAGTTAAACTAATACGGGACTGCGACAGTCGGATGGCCAAGAAGGTTACCAAAGATTTTCACCTGGTTTTTTTGCGTGCGTACCTGTAGGTTCTTGTAAATTTACCAGAGGCTGTTGAAGAGGGCCTTAATTGGTGTGGTTTAGGTAGGTAGCAGGCAAATGTAAATTGTATGACGTCAGAGCAGTTTGGTGAAGAACTTTGATCGGTTAAAGGTTATCTCCAAATATTGTGATAAGTTAATATTGTGTACGAGAGGTTACGGGGGTCGGGTTTTATAAGTAAATATTGCCATAAGGATGTTTTTCGCTGTTACTCATAGTGCGAGCCAAGCCTAGCCTTGTGAAATATATTTTATAAGAAAAGATAAATTAAATTATACGCTATAAATTTATTTTTATATTAATATTTTCCATAAATATTACAATATCTAATTTAACGAATATAGTTTTTGCAATAGTGTAATGTTGTAAATTACTGTATTTCTATGAATCTAAATATGAATTTTACTCAACAGTGTACTTATTTGAATAAGAACAATTAAAATAATAATTAACAACAGAATTTTTCTAAACACGTTTATTTTATATTAATTATTCTATTTTTAAATTTTGCAGTGTAATGTAAGTTATTTAAATTGCTTTAGTGTGCTACCTTCCCGTTTGGGAGGTGGGTTCAAAATTGTACCTATATAAAACACCAAATTTTAGTTCAATGTAATTACACAATAAAACACAGATTAACAAGACAGACGTTTATTCAGAGTAGGGTAGCTCATCATTTGAAACAATACAATTTAAAATGGTTTAAATAATTATAACAATATATTTTTTACAATAATGTTATATGAAAATTGATATGTCGGTAGATCCAAATCTCCACACCTTGTATGAGAAATGTTCTAATATTTGCTATATACCAGTAGATCCGAATGATCCTTCTCCTCTTTCTGTATCACAAATGCTCTGAAAAATATAATATTAATTAAAATTTAAATTTACTTATATAAATGATTTAAAATACCTGTACTTCTTGCACTTCAGGATAGAATATCCTCTCACAAATCAGCTGTGTGATGCGATCACCTCTCTTTATAATAAAATCGTTCTCAGAATGATTAAACAAAACAATTTTAACTATTCCTCTATAGTCTTCATCTACGACTCCTGCTGTAAAATAAATCTGTTATTAGTTGAGAGGAAATTTTATAATTAAAATAAAATACCTCCAACATCGATGAAATTGTTTATAGCCAGTCCAGATCTGGGTGCAATTCGACCATAACACCCTTTAGGTACTTGAATTTTTAAACCTGTATTTACTATATTTCTGTCTCTTGCTGGTATTATACAGTCATCTATACTTTTTAAATCGAATCCAGCTGATCTAGCTGAACCCTTAACTGGAGCATATGCTGCTGGTGTTGTTCTAACATATTTTAGAACTGTTTGTTTTTCTAGTTTCAATTTCAATATAAGGGGTTAAATAAAAGAAAAAAATAAATAGAGTAAGTGGATTAATCTAACAATTTATATAACCCCAGGGAAGTGTATCTGTTGTAATATAATTTACAATTCTTTTATCGTCGTATGGAGTTAGAGCAATATTTTTCTGGTCTATTGTATATACCTCATGTTTTTTACTCCGAATTAATGTTTCTTTGACAGACAAACTGCTATTATTAAGTAGACATTTATAATAAGTCTCGAAAGTAATTGTTTTTAGCGATGCACTTGTTATTCCCTTATCCTTTTTAACAATTTTATTTGCATTGTTTTATAACGTTTTAAATGTATACATTTTAGATTTCAAACCAATAAATTCAACCATTATGTTTCCATTATTTTCATCCTTCATCAAACCTAATACTTTTTTATTTACTAAAGGAATATTAAATTGATTGTTTTCTGGATAGTCAGAGGTATCACATTTATTTATATCTTCTCTAATATGTTCATATATATTATCAACAAAAAAGTGGTATATTAAGGAATCTGTATCGGAATATAATAATTTAGCATTGTTATTAAATTTAGGTTTAATGTAGTTGTAATGAAAATCATAAACTATGGTTTTTGAAATGTCTAAAATACTGAATCCTACATAAATTGGTTTGTTAAGTTTAATATTTATCCTTTTCATTTCTATAATAACCATACTGTCATTGAATATGGTAAGATTATGGAAATCTGGTTTGGAAATGTAAGATTTTGCACCATATCTACCTTCCCATTGTGTAACTAATTTAACATCTTTATATTTCCTTACATTTTCCATAGTTTTACCAAAAACTGGATTATTCATTAACTTGTAAATTTTTTTCTCAAAATCATTTTTACTCTGTTTTCTTAATTGTGTATTTAAATCGATGTAACTTTTTAACCAAGGAGATTGATTAAATTTTAAAATTTTATGAACTTTACTTATTTAAACAAAACCCAAACCTAAACTTACTGCTTGTTTTAAATTTGTATAATGAATAATGTAGTTTTTCTAATTAAATAGTGTGGTTAAGAGTTTCATTTGTTTTGATGATTTTATAGGTGATACCATACGCTCTGGACATATATGTAAATCTTTGTGAAGATTATATAATTTTGTAGGACAATCTAAATCAACCTCAAGTATATAACCGATATTAGAATCATTAGCGGTGTTCAATATATTTTCAGAATAAAAATCGATACTTTCTACCCACTGAAAATCGCCAAAAGGTAAGAATTGACTCATGGCTGTACCATATAAGTTATTTACATCAAAATACATAAGGTATGATGATTGAAGGGTAGTGTTATACTCATTTTCCCATAAAGACGTTATTTGCTTTCCCGTATCGGTTACTACATTGTGATATTCCACCTCTAATACCTCTTTCGATAAACATTAATTTATTAATATCTGTTAATAACTCTAAAGTAATTCCAGATACTTTTAAACAACTATCGTATGCTAAACCTGGAGCTGTGTAATACTTTAAACATTCCAAATTATATGTTTTTAAACAAACCAAAAAATTTTCAAATACATCAGCTAAAAGCAATACATCTGTTTTTAAATATAATCCCATATATTCTCAAAGATTTTGAATTTTAAATGTATCCCATACTTTTATAGCATGATCATATTCACATTGTTCTATACCAGATTTTCTTAAATTACTATAGAAACACTCAAGGGCTGGTAATTTTAATTCGTTTAATTTATCCCAACAATGAAGATATTCATACGGAAAAATACCCTTTTTCGACACTAACAAAAATTCATATCTTCATTTCTACAGAAACTTCTGGTTATAACTTTTTCTGAATTGGTGTGATATGAACTCAATTTATCTAAGCTACTAGCCATAAATCGAAATGAATCGAGAAATCGAAGCTGTACAGATGTATTTTCAATGTATTTAGTAAAAGCTATATATTTTTCTTTATTTACTGGGAGTAAATTTATCATTCCTGGTATTTCTGTTGCTAATGCCCTAATAATAAAGTGATTATCTTAACCTGATAAATTGTGAAATATTACTGGGATAACATGATTATTTTTATAATTTATATTGCAGGAGTTGTGAGCACTACCTCTATATTGACCTGTGAAATGACAATGATCCTTTACTTTAATGTCATCTTGTGTGCAAATTATTTTTCGCATATATGACATACATTGGAAGAATAAAAATCGAGTAATTGTTGATTTGATAAAGGATGCATAGGAATTGGATTTAAAAAATATTATTTATTTCCATACTTAGTTGACATAAACGTTTAACAAACCACTTAATACAGTCTTTACCTGTATAGCACTCAAATTTTGAAAGGGAATTATTAAAACTACACAAGAGATAATATGCTATACTACATGGAATATGTTTCTGTATTTTAATTTGAGTAGCAGTATTATTAAAATTTTAACATTTTTCTAAGATACTTTCTAAATCTGCATAAATAACAAACGGAGATTTTTCTTTATTTTTAAACTGAGTAAATGATATAAATTTTTCATCTTCTGAAGGTACTGATATTTTACTTTTATTCATTTTGCGATATATAAAAATATGTCTATTTAATATTTCTTCGGAAAAGAAATGATTTACACATCTATCGCAGAAATATTTTTGTACTTTTCAAGTTACCCGTTTGTCTGCACAATAAGCGTGCAAAATGATATATTGGTTTATAATCATTTATGTTTGAACTCATTAATTGATCGTTTTCATCAAAATTAGGTTTAATTTTAGTTGGAATAATTAACAAATTAACACTCTTTAAGTATTCAAAATTACTCAAGCAAATATTTCAAAATTACTCAAGCAATTATTATATTATTATTCTAATATATGGTAATCAATATGTTTATTGATATCCCATTCAAAGAACGAATGATTCCGTATTATTAATATGTTACTTTGTATATATTTTTTATTACTAATAATCTATCAAAATACATACATATCACTATCACATGTTTCATATGTTTATTGATATCACATTCAAAGAACGAATGATTTCGTATTATTATGTTACTTTGTATATATTTTTTATTACTAATAATCTATCAAAATACATACGTATCACTATCACGTTTTTAAAATGTAAACATTTTTTCTTCAATTTTACTATATAATATCAAGCTAGCGTGTATTCGATTAACAGTTTACACTAGCAAAATAAGATGTCTACAGTATCGTGCACTATTTTATTAAAAAGTAATGATGGTCACGCACTTCCATCAAACCATCTGATCACACTTTGCAAACATCTATTTCGGTAAGTTATAAAAGTTATTTGTTAAACTTTATATTTATTTTTTAATTTTGTATAATTTAGATTTGGTAGGAAGACTGTGGAAATGAAAGGGGGCCAAGTAGTCCTGAAACTCTCCTACACACCAAAATCTGAGACGATGGAGAAAAAACTTGGTAATCTACCAATCGCATACATCCGATTGGGTGTAGAATGTGATGAGGAGCTAGATATATTGAAAAAATATATGTAAATTTACGATTTTGATGGAAAACGAAACGACAAGTGTGCCAGCAGAAGCCGTCGAGGATGAGGAAGAAGAGGAGAAGAAGCTTGCGATTGAGTCAAGTACATTCAAGGATCCTAAGAAAAGGAAGCATGTAAAGATTAGGAGGACTGAAGAAAATACAGATGAAAAAAGAAAAAAAAAATAAAATATTGGAAAACAGAATAATAACACCTGCATCCGCATCCCCATCATTTACAGCCGTATACGATGAAGATGCGGACATGTACGAAAGACAAAAATATACTATTGTACAAAATTAATATTTAGTATCCTATTTGTTGTCCATATTGTTGTTTTATATATGTCATATTGTAGAAAAATATTTAAATATTTTATGTATATAGTATCTTATGGTTTTTAGTTTGTAGTAAAGGGATTGTATGAGTATATAGTTAATAAAAGATAGTATTACAATTTTAAGTGTTTTATTAAACATATATTTTACACTAATTTTCAATATTTTGTCTAAAATCTATGAAATATATTATTTTAAATGTTTAGTTAAAATTTTTGAATATTACAATAAGTATACCAATAATATAAGAAATATACATTTTCAACTGCACAATATAAACTACTATCTAAATGTTTTAAACAATGATAAGATTTGAATATATTTTTTAATCGATCAAATGCTGGACATCTTTCTATATTAAATTCAATTATTTCATTATCTAAAAACTTTTCTAACCATTGCTTCTTTTCTGCCCCATTAACAGCAACAATTTCTGAACACACGTGTTTTTTAATGAGACTTGAAATATCTTCATACGGTAAACATTTTTCTTCTCCATATAAAACATCAAATTCTAAACCATGGAAATTGCAAGTTATCCGTCCATATGATCTCTAACTTTTAAATTGTACTGTTTCAATTCAAATGGATAACTTATAAATTTATGTGCAGCCAAATGTCCATTGTCATTAACGTTGACTATTGCCAATTCTTTACAAATAAAATTTCCCGATCCATACTGAAAGTCTTGTACATCAATAATAAACATTTTCAATAGCGATGCAGATACGTATGTTTGCTTCGACTGACTACGAGCGACTGAATATTTTAATTAGAGTACTCTTATAGTACTAGTTAATTGGTTGTACTTTACTAATTTATCATGTAAAATTACAGACAATTACAGTAGTCTTGGCAGGGATTGCTCCACTTGTTTCAAACTCAATACGAATATCGACTGCACCACCCTTTAAAATATCATCTCCTTGACATGAACAATCAATGACCACCAGAGGGGCATTGTTCTTGAACAGAATGGGATAGTAGGTTGGTACCATATATTAGCTTTATAGTAGTATGATTTTTGGAACTGAGTATACATTTCATATAGGACTGCATATCTATTATTAGTAAAATCTATATTTAAATTGTCATAAGGATATACTTCTGAGTTTAAATATACTTTTAAATTGGTCAAGTTACAGTGTT